TGAAGAAAATGTAGGCACTGATTTATTTTTAAAATCTTGTGTTAATTTTAATCAGATCAACTTTTGCTCCCTAAATAAAATAATTAAATAGTAAATATATAATAATTAGATAAAAATAAAACAAATTTTTTTCATTCTTTTAAATTTCTGTTTTTAAAAATTATTATCTAAATCCTGGAAGTTAAATTTATATTATTTATTTTTGACCCTAATTTACTGGTGACAGAACAAGCTTTAATGGACTTTTTGACAAGAAAAGAACATATACTTTTTCTAAATGTGACAGTAGTGGTAAACCAAATGATGATATTGGAAATAATTTCAAAGAAATGCAGACCAAAAGAGTTTTGCTGAGAAGTATTATCTGTTTTATGTTGAATTTAGTTTTCAGCTATAATTGACAGGAAAGTGCTAAACTAGTGAGTTATTTGTGGAGATACAATGGCTAATAAAACCATAAAAATTTAATTGGCATCTATATGCATGACATAAGTATGTTCAAAACCACATTCATTATTTGAAAGAAAGAATATTACATGAGAAAGCTGACAAGAAGCAGAGGTTTAAGATTTCAGCATATAATCATTAGGATTTTGTGGGTTTCTTATAAAGTCTCACTTGAGGTTTTTAACATTAAAAAACTACATGCAAATGACATCTTAGTTATAAATTCTTTGCCTTGACCAATGTTCAGAAGAATTTTTCCTATTTTTCTTCTAGAATTGTTATGGTTTCAGGTCTTACATTTAAGTCTTTAATTTATCTTCAATTAATTTTTGTGTATGGTGATAGATAGGGATCCAGTTTCGTTCTTCTGCATGTGGCTCTCCAATTTTCTTAGCACCATTTATTCAATAGGGCATCCTTTCTCCAGTGTATATTTTTGTCTGCTTTGTCAAAAATCAGTTGATAGTAGCTATACGATTTTATTTCTGGGCTTTCTTTTCTGTTCCATTGATCTGTGTGTCTGCTTTTATGCCAGAACCATACTGTTTTGATTGCCATAGCCTTGAAGTATGATTTGAAGTCCTGTAATGTGATGCTTCCAGATTTGTTTTTTGCTTAGTATTGCTTTGGCTATTTGGGCTCTTTTTTGATTCCATGTGAAATTTAGGATTGTTTTTTCTAGTTCTGTGAAAAATGACATTGGTATTTTGATGAGAATTGCATTGAATCTGTAAATTATTTGGGATACTATGCACATTTTAACAATATTGATTGTTTCAATCCATAGACATGGTATATTTTTCCATTTGTTTGTCATTTCTGATTTCTTTCATTAGTGTTTTGTAGTTTTCCCTGTACAAGCACAAAAGCAAATACAGAAACAAAAAATAAATAAGTAAATGGGACTTAATTAAACTAAAGCGTTTCTGCACAGCAAAGGAAATAGTCAACAGAGCAGAGCAGATAGACAACCCACAGAATTGGAGAAAATACTCAAAAACTATATATCTGTCAAAAGACCAATATCCAGAATCCATAAAAACCCAAATAAAGGAAGAAAAAACAAATAACACCATTAAAAAGTAAACAAAAGACATAAACAGATTATTTTTCAAGGGAAGATATGCAAATGGCCAAAAAACATGAAAAAATGCTCAATATTACTAATCATCAGAGAAATGCAAATTAAAACCACAATAAGATACCACTTTATTCCTCTCAGAATGGCCATTACTAAAATGTCAAAAAAAAAAATTGATGTTGGTGCAGATACAGTAAAAGGGAACACTACTGTTGATAGGAATGTAAATTGATACAACCTCTATGGAAAACAGTATGGAGATTCCTCAAAAACTAAAACTAGAATGACCATTCAATCCAGCAGGCCCCTTATTGGGTATCTACCTAAAGGAAAATAAGTCATTATATCAGAAAGACATATGGACTGGTTTGTTTAGCAGTACACTTCACAATTGCAAAGATACAGAATCAACCTAATGCCTGTCAGCTGAAGAGTAGATGGTACACACCCCATAGAGTACCACTCAGCTGTAGAAAGGAATGATACAATGTCTGTTGCAGCTACTTGGATGGAACAAGAGACCGTTATCCTAAGTGAATTATCTCAGGAATAGAAAAACAAATACCACTTATTCTCACTTGTAAGTGGGAACTAAACGATGGATATATGTGGTCATAAAATGGTAAAGTGGATATTGGAAATTAAGAAAAGGGGGGGTTGAGGGCCCAAAAATTGCCTATTGGGTACGATGTACTATTCTGGTGATGGTTACACTGACTTCAGCATTATACAGTTCATCCATGTAATAAAAAACACTTGTACCCCCTAAATCTATTGAAATAATAAAAATGTATACAAATTACAAAATATGTTTGCTTGGAAACATTGGATGAATCTGTAGCAAAGAAGGTAGTTTATGTACTACTTTCCAGCAACACCATAGTTTGATATATATAAGAATAGAATAGTGATACAGAAGGTCAGCTCTCAGACAAATACAGGTAACAAAAGAGTTTTTGTTCCAATTTGGTGAACACACTGATTTTGCTAACATGACAATGATAGGAAATAAGAATTTCTTTTTAGCCTCATTGTTGACAAATATAGCTTGCTCTGAAGTATATAACATTTTAAAGTGTTATGGTATCAACAAATGTGGTTTGGAGTTTTACTTTGCTTTTGTAGGAGTATATTCCAGTTAGAGACACTGACAAGAAAAACATGTTGGAGCATGTACCAGAGTATAAATCAATGTCTTGCTTCTTTCATTGAGCAAGTGTTGCTATGTCAGCAGAACTAAACAATACGCTAGCTATATCAGCTGTATTAAAAGTAATTCACTAAAAGTGTGAATTTTTATACACCAGTTAATTATATTTGAGATTTCTAAAAAATTAAATGATAGTGCAGTTTGGGAGTTGATTGGATCAGTTTGAACTGCTCAACTGTTTTCCTACTAAGGTGTATACATTGGTTTTTCAAAGGTAAATTTTCAGGCAAGAGTATTAGAACTTTGGGATAACTCTTAGTGTTCTTGCAAGATAAACCAATTTGGTCCTCAACTTTTTAAATATTTAAGTTAGACTTATTTGTCTGATAGCTTCATTCTTTTTTTTTTTTTTTTTAATGGTCTTAGACTTCCATGCAAGGAAGGAATGTCAGATGCTTTTTAGTGGCAGATAACATCAAAGGACAAAAATGAAAGAAATTTGAGGGAAAAGTTATCATACCTTGTTATGATGGGTTCAGCAATATAGTAATAACTATCAGTAAAGTAGGTAGTGAGCTTGATATTGCACATTTGAAAAAGTTATAATCAAATAACCTTACATATTTGATAGGATACTTTGAATTTCATTTTCCATCAAAAGAAAATCCTTGGATAGGAAATTCATAGATCAGGAATCCATTTTTTAATCAAAAGTTATTTTAGATTTAACCATAATATTGCTAGATAAATTATTGGAACTAGCTATCTAGTGAGGGGTTGAAGACAAATTTTGAAAAGCAAATTTCCTGTGTTTTAGATAAAAGTTTAAAAAAATAAATATCTGACCTTGTTGGAATTGTGTTAAAATCTCTTCTATTCTTTGAGACTAGTTTCTCTAATTGTGAGCGCTGTTAAAACAAAACATAGAAATCGTTTAGATATGCATTATCTCTTGTGAGTAACATTGTCCTCAGTCCAACCTAGATAAATTAAGTGTGGTAGTTGGCCTCAAAGACAGCCCTAATGAGCCCTACCTCCTGTTTAGGTTTGTGTAATTCCCTCTCACATTACACAGGGATTGATATGTGTGACCCATAGAATAAGTCAGATGTGATTGTATATCACTTCTGAGATTGGGTTATAACAGACACTACAGCTTCTGTCTTGTTTGCTCTATTATTTTCTCTTTGGAAGCCAGCTACCATGTGGTAAATAGGCCAGAGGAAAGGCCCACATAGCAAGGAACTGAAGTCTTTTGTCTTTAGTCACAAGAGTGAGCTTAAAAGATTCTCCAAGCCCATGGAGTCTTCAGATGACCGTAGCTCTAACCAACATCTTGACTAAAAGTTCATGAGAAACCCTGAATCATAACCACTCAGCTAAGCTGCTTCGGAATGCCTGACCAACAGAAGCTTTGAGATAATAAATGTGTTGTTTTAAGCCACTAAGTGTTGAGGTAATTTTTCGTGCAGTAATAAATAAAGGAGCAAACAAGAAGCCAACTTATTTGTTACATTAAAAACTTTATTAACGTATGCTGTTCAGAGTATATGAATTGGTGTTTCATTGAGGAATTGCTGTTTCAATCATAACTTTTGGTTAAATTAGAATCATGGGAATGGCAAAAGTTACTAGTGCAATAGTTTTTTTCTGTATTGATTGCCTTTGTATACTTTCAATGAAAAATTTGTAACTTTCTGTAATTTTTTTCTTTTTTTTCTATTCTAATTACATTTATTTATAATTTTATGGGTCTGAATCTAATAAAACCCTTGGACTTGTATTTTGCGTGGTCTTTTTTCCTTTAAGTTTTTAGCAGTTTCGTTTTATTTTATTTTATAAAAGTATTGATCCATGAGGGATTGGAATTTTTAAAAAGAAAAAAGGAAAGTGGTTTTTAACCACAGATAGTCTAGGGGATCTATCTTGTCATAGTTCTCATAGTACCTTCACTGACCTTATTGTGATGATCATCTTGCTTTATTACAATTGATTATATTCTCTGTTAAACTAAAAGCTCTATGAAGGGAAGAGTCTATGTCTGTGTTTGCTGTTACATCTTTAGTATAATCTAGAACAATGTCCTGTTAGGACTACTCAGTAGATATTGGTTGAAAGAATTAATATTCCTTTTACATTTTTTTCATGGTGTTGGAATAATGATTAATGATTAATAATGATTATATAGTTGTAAACAAGTTGCTTCTATAGCCATATATCTTTGGGGAATGTTAATTGCTTTGGTTGAACAGAAAATATTCTTGGCATTTTTATTGCTGAGTACCAGAGATTTTTATAAAATATGTGTTTTTATTTCCACAGCACAAACACTGCCTCTGAAGAAGATATCTCAAGTAGATACCCGCGAACAGATAGAAGTGGGTTCTCTAGATATAACAGGGATGCAAATGTTTCAGGTAATTTGGCCTCAAGTAGCACATTGGAAAAGAAAATTGAAGATCTTGAAAAGGTATGAATTACTAATTATTTAAGATTGATAGAATTAATACATAGTTAGGATTCTTTTTTCGGTTTCATAGCAGATGAGAGAAGAAATAAGTTGAAATTTGTAGGGGAGAGATAGTGCCAAAAAATGGAAAAGAATGAGGGGCACTAATGAGAGATAACATCATTGTTAATCAGTATTTCCATATGTAGTCAAATAGCTTTTAATCACTGTCTTACATAGTATATAGTTTCTATATACATAGCTATATAGCAAAGCATTTTTTAAAATTTTCTTAGTACTTTCCTATCTATAATAGTTTTGTTGATGTTAAAAGTTTAGAAATTAAGCCAACTCCTATGTTCCTTAATATTTAATGTATATTCTTATTCTGCCACATGTTATTTTTTAATATATCAAAAACTGTCTTTGTCTTTGAAGTGGTTAGAAGTCTAAGTTGGCAATATATTATACTACTATGTGTTTCTTATATTGCCTGAACAGATTGTCATTTGTAACTTTTGAAATTCAAGAGTAATTCTGAGTTAGGTCCATCTTTGGTGTTTGAAACAATTTTATGGTAGAATAAACCTGTTTAAAAGTATCTGTCCAAATTTATTAACCATAGGTTCTGAGGTTTGTTCCATAGACACTCAACTCCTAAAATGGATAATAGCGCTGAATTTCTTCCCAATTGTTGAAAATATGTTTTTACTGAACTGAAATTATTCCCTGTGATATAAAGTTTAGTTTACATATATGATATAGAGATTTAATTTAAAAAATTATTTCTATTTTATAATGTTAACGATTATTTTGAAGTCATATCTAAATTGTTACGCTAGTTTCTGTTTGGAATCATTATTTTATAGGCTTAAAAACTTTAGAAAATACGTAGTCTAATAGTTTTCAAGGGAGTTCCTCAAAAAGGCTTCTGGAATTCCACAAGAGTTTAGATTAAGTTGTTCATAGTTGGCAGCAGCTGATTGATGTGGCTGGCTGGCTGCTTTCTCTGAGGGTTAGTAGGAAAGAAGCCAAGTTCTGGGCAAGACCTTTTCAGCTTTGCCTTTTGTTGCTCCCAAGGTGGTTGAGTCAGCCCAAGCCCCTGGATTCTAAATAAGATTGCTTGGAAAGAAGTGTTGCATTATGTATAAAAAAGTAGTTTAAAAATCAGTAATGTATTTCAGTTCCTTCATTTTATCCATTGTCAGTTAACTGGCAGAGCCAGAAGTAAAATTGAGGACCATTGATTTTCTGTTTAGAGTTTCTATTGGGCTATCTCCTATTCTTAAATTTTGTATTTTTAATAAAAATTTTGAATTATCTAAAATAAGATATTATCTATAAAAAAGGTAGTTCCTAACTTAATAGTGGTGATAAGCTAAAGAAGGTAAGTCATATTAGTATTTGTTAAAGACTTGTGTAAACATGTATTTACAGTTCCTGTATTCCCCTTATTCTGTGATTCTTTTCTGTGATAGATTCTGCATTCCTTCACCAAGGGTCTTAAGGAATTCATTAGATATCTTCATATAGCTAAGATACCTTACCAAACTTGGTAGATGTATACCATTTATGAAGATTATAAACAACCAGTTCTTCCCAATTAATGCTTTGTAATTATATCTATCAGGAAGTAGTAAGAGAAAGGCAAGAAAACCTAAGACTTGTGAGACTGATGCAAGATAAAGAAGAAATGATTGGAAAACTCAAAGAAGAAATTGACTTGTTAAATAGAGTAAGTATTTCACATATTTCAGTTTCAGGGTTTTCTTTTTGAGAATTGGGTGAAAATTTGTAAATATTAAGAAATTATTTCATTGCATTATTTATTTTGTTCTTTTGTTAATTAGATGGTAATTTAGTAGTAAGAACTATCATTTCATTCCACAAACTGATTTCCTCTGAGTAATTGTCAGTTTAACAAAGTTAATTTTATTCTTTTGAGGATGAACTGATGAATGGATTTGTTCCGTGTTTTGTTAGAGTTTGGAGATGAGAGACAACTCAGTCTAACTACCATATGTAAAAGGGCACTGGCACAGAGTTTCCCCCTAAAGAACTAAAATTTGGTACTTTATTACTGTAAGAAATTCCAGATGTATTTGTGTGTATTTTCACCACTTTTTTTCTTCAGTTGTACTTAATGCATTCCCAGCTTTAGGTTTAGCAATTGACTAAGCCAGTATTTGACTTCAGGTTTTTGATAGTTCTACTTCCATGTAGTCCATTCTTTGTGGACTGCCTTTCATCTCGATTCCAACACAAGTATTCCTCTATTGGTACTAGAATTTGATTTAAGAAACTCTGCAGATATTTTTGATGTCCATGATTATTTGCACTGTCTTAGGTACTATGGGCATAAAAAACAATGATAAAACCCCTGCCCTTATAGAGTTTATAATCTAATAATGATATAAGAATGTATTTTATCATTTAATTCCAAATCTTAGGTAGATCTCAGTTGTAATTTTAGAAATCCCATATTTTTATTGTTGTTTCAACAGATTTTTCCCATCATTCATTTAATTTGTAAATAAATGCAAATTCTGATTTTGTGAATTTTAAAATTATTTACCTGATTGTCAAAAGGCAGTATACAAAATTTATCAGAATGCCGCTATACTATAGCAGTGATTTAAATTGTATCAAGTTTTAATATTTTAGACTGCAAGGATATTAGTTGAACCAGATTAACTCTGTATGCCCCAGATTCCCTTTTCTGTATGCCTCAGTTCACATCCCTGGTCTCATCACCAAATGTATACATTTAAAGATCACACAAAGTAAACTTACACTTTTTGATGCCCAATTTGACACCAGGTTGCAACTTGGGGCCCCATACCACCTATGACCAGCATATGTGTTTTGTTCAGCCTTCCATTTTAGGGAGGGGAATGGAGTTTGATTTTAACTAAAAAAATTAACTTATTTATGATGATCAAAAATTGGAAGATTTACAGTTTAAGAATTCTGACTTCTGCCTTTTTTGAAAACCTGAAAGTTTTGGAAAGAGTTGGCCCACATATTTGTGATAAGAATGAAGTCAGGAGTTGCTTTAGGTGGGACAGATTCCTTCTAAAATTATTTTCAGAACTTAACCTTCATTTCAAAATGAATTGGTTATATGAATTATTTTTGAATGTGTATTTTTAAAGGTGTTCTTTTTTATCTCCCTTAGAATATATTTTAAGTATTTTTAAAGTAGTATTTTCCTTTTTTTCCTTAAGGACCTAGATGACATAGAAGATGAAAATGAACAACTAAAGCAGGAAAATAAAACTCTTTTGAAAGTTGTTGGGCAGCTGACAAGGTAGAAGATTCAAGGCTCAATGTGGAATAAATATTTTAAAACTACTGATTGAATGTTATGGTCAATGCTAGGACGATATTCCTATGCTGCAATACATTAAAATAACGAAGTATGTATATTTATTTCTAGAAAATGGATGTTTATTTTCAAAATATTTCATTTTCATTATTAGTTTCAAAGGTATCCTTTTTATTTCACAAATAAGTAACATCTTTCAGTTATTAAAGTAATAAGTAATACCTTTTTGGTTTTGTGTGGTATTCAAATAACACATGATTTAAAGTCACAACCCTTTAAATGTATTTTAGCTTTGTAGCACAGTCTCTCCCTGAAGGAATATACATAGTCTTTGTTTACATGAATTCAGATACTTCTGGGGAGTTACTTGTAAATGCCTTATTACTGGTCTGTGCAGCCTTTTATGTGTTGATGACTTACTCATATAAGTTTTTGTCTACTGTTCTTTCCACTTATTCTAAGCAATTTAGAGTAATAGTCACACTATTTTGTATAACAATATTTTAAAAGACAAGTTATTTTAAAAGTTACGTAATATCATGTTCTTGTTAGCTAAATATAAATTTAAGAGAATACTTGAATTGCGCTATAGTAAATGAAAATTTACTATTTTGTGTTTCAATATTAAAAAAACTTTAAAATCACTTTTACTTCTGAAAAACATACACTTGTAATTTTAATGTAAAATTTCTTATGTAGGTACTATCTTTTTTTTTTATTGTTCCAAAGTTTATTAGTGAACATGGGATATTTAAAAGTTGTTTATTCTTTGGGCCTGGAAAATGTGTACAATTTCAGTGCATAAGAAAAAAGTTGTATTTTTATTACCATATGCATTAAAATCAAAACCAAAATATTTTACACACTTAAAACACCTGCACATATATTAACAAAAAGTACATATGCAGAAATAACACTAAAATATTTTGCCTAATTTCTAAGTTGGAAAATACCATTGTAACTATTTTTCACATAAGAGAATATTCCCTTACCACAACTTTAAAGGATTTTCTTCCTAACATTGAAATTTTTAAAACAATTATTTTTAAAGAATTATATAAATTTTCTATTATAATAATTGTCATTGGTATTTAGGGTTGTTTTATATTACATTTTCATGTTGAGTTAGAATTCTCCCCCACCCCACCCCCAAAAAACAAATTAACATTATAAAATGTTTGCTTGATAGAGGAATCTCAAACAGCAGTACTAATATCTTTCTATCTAGTTAATGTATGAAAGTGGCTTGAACATAGTGAAATCCACTTTGGGTGCCGTCCTGACTTCTTCCTTCACTAGCTATTTTTCACTGTTAGAAAAATAGAGAGGGTAAGACAATTAGGAAAAAATGTGGAGCAAATGACAAATATCCGATGTTGAATTGTAAAAATCTCTGCCTTTACCTAGGTTAGCTTTACCTACTCCCCAGTTCGGAAGTTTCAAACTTGACTAATCATCAGAATCATTTGAGGAAGTTAAAAAGAATTCCCTTGCTGTAGCTCCTAGGTAGGTTTAGGTTGAGACCCTAGACTAGAATTTTTAAAGCTTATCATCTAAAGATTCCGATCACAGCTGCTGTTGTGTCTTTATTCCCAGAAGTATCTTCTATTGAAAACCCAGAATTGACATACTTTTAACTCCTGGCCTTTTTGTTTTGCCCTTTTAGTTTATTTAATAATTATTTTGGTCTCTGGGGCAGTTTTCATATATATATTTCACTGCTCACAAAAAGTTTAATGTTAGATTACAAAATTTGATGTAGTTGTAGAATTACTGCATAAAGGCCTCCTTCTTGGGGTCTTTTACTCTGCATGGGAACAGTGATCTGCTGCCCACAAGTAAAGGTGGTATGCCAGTCCCAGTACCTCACCACTCAGGTGCTCCGTTTAGTTACCCTTAGGTACGTGGCAAAAATGTCCTTATTGCCTAGGTCCTCATCCACACTTTGGATGTTGTGAAAATGCTGTCAGTATCCAACCTTAAAATGTATTAGTATATTGGTTTTCATTAAAAGAGTTAATTTGAATTTTCTACTTAATATATAAATAAAAGAACACTTCATTTCACTTTAAAATTATATCAATTTTAATGCTTTTAAAGACTGGGAGGTTTAATTTTTTTCAGTTTATTGGGAACATATTGAGCAATAATTTTTGCTATTTTAAAATAATGATACCAAATAAAAATACAGGAGCCTTACAACTTAGGCAAAGCATTTCACATGCAGTCCTTCCCCATCTCCTTGAAACTTGTATTTATTTCACAAACAGATTTTTACACCAACTGTTGAAAAATAAAGTAGAATCTGCTACAATTTCCCCCTAACATTTGTAAAAAAGTGTTTAGATTTTAAAAAGGTAGCTAAAGTACATGTGCACTACTCTAGAAAACTTGGCTATTTTGTCAATAGAGTAGTGCAGTTGTTTGTGAAATTATTAGTCCTCTTCAGAAATATTATTTCTTGTATCTCCTGGGAATTTATGGTATAATAAAACACATCCAAAGTTCTGATGTGTTTATAAGATCATTTTCAAAACAATAAGTTTATTATCCTTAAAATGAATATGACTTGCCTCCTTAATTTCTGAAATGAGTTAACTTAAAAATTACTTTAGTAATCTTTATTTCATCTTTATAGAATTGTTGGTAATTTTATCACATGACAGTTAACCATTAGAGAGGAAAGGAAAGGCTTTTGAGTATGTATTTCTAAATAATCTAAGGGATTTACTAAATACAGTAGATTAGCACTGGCACACTTGTTTAAGTGGTTCCAGACATAGAAAATTAAGTATCAGGGGTAGATACGTGAAACAATGTAGTCTTTCCTTTTTTTTCTTGATAATTTTTAAATTTTTTAATTGTGGTAGAAGCAATGTATTTTTAAAGTGAAAAACCTACCTCATTTGTATGTGGTTTTATGTTTTCTGGATTTATCTGGATTTTTATAATTAGAAATTAAAATATAAGATTTTGAGTCTGCTTAATACTTTGTTGAAAACAGTACAAGTCAATGTAATAGAAACATCCATATGTTCAGCAGTGTAAGACAAAATAGCAAAGGCCTTGGATTTGATAATCTGATGTCCTGGACAATATTTGTCATCTTTCTTTTTTGTTTTTTTGGTAGCTTTATAATTTTGCATTGGTGACTAGTAAGTTCCATGAAGTGTTGGCACTTATTTAATAACTTCTTGCTTTTGTTAATAACCTTTTACAGGATTCAGACATACATTTGATTCTAGAAATATAAGAAACCAGACACACAAGCTTTTCATTGAGGGGGGGGAGTATATTGAGAAAGAACTAGCATTCAGGAATCAGAACTTTAACTTCTTAAAGTTAGTGCTAGACATTTTTATATTTTTATCTGAACCTATTCTAATATGTAAAAGTGAAGCTTGACTTTTGCATTGGAACTATGTTCTCATAAATAAAAAACATCCCATCAATTAAGATTATAATTTATATTATCAGAGAACTCATGTGACATTTTTCTTTTATTCCATTAAACTGAAAGCATAATGCTAATAGACAATGAACAGTTTGCTTATCAGGTGCATCTACAAAGACACCTGTCCCCATGTTGTTTTTCCTTATGTACAGAAATTGTTTTTTTCATTCTCAGTTTAAAAATTTGAACCATTACCCAAGAAAACCTGAGCCCAAATTGTTTTTATTTTACTTAACTAGAATCTTATAGCATGTTAAAGTCATATATTCATCGGCCCCAAAATAATTACGTGTATGTGAGAGGAATGGGTATGTGGGAGTTGCATTAAATGTTTATAACTATTTCAACAAGTATTTATTAGTCAACTGGATATAATATTACAGATATTACAGAAATTTCAAATTAATAGCCATGGACCACTCTTCCATCTAGCAGTGTATAATGTATAGAGCATATATCAGTAGCACAAAAGTGCACTCTTATTATCCTGTCTAATTTGTATAGTTTACTCAAAAGTACTTTTTTGTATTATCCAGCCATTGTCTTTTAGATCTAGTTAATAGGTACTGTTTGATTTGCTACAACATTTACTGAAAAGTGGAGTAAAAGAGATGATGCATATTGGGAAGTATCTTACCATTTTTTAAAGATAATTATGGATTAGGAAAAGAACATTTTTAGGAAATTTGTAGTGGTAATGAAGTGAAAAGAATTCAGTGTATTCCAGATGCAACAAACTGTTGATGGTATTTAAATGTGATTTCCAGTTAGTACTTCTATATACCTTATTGATTACTGGTTTGTTTTTAGGTATTTAAGACTATTCTCATCTACAGTTCACATTGGCAGTTGCTATAGAAATAATAGAACATTAGTGATAATCACCTGATAGACATTGATTAAATGCCTGTGTTTTGTATTATGTTCCCCTCTGGATACTGAATAGGTATAGTTTACTTTTTTAGTGAACTTGTTTCTTGAAAGATTTGGCTATGCTATTCAGGGTTTTTATTCTTGTGTTTTTCTTCTAAATGTAAGTAGCAGATGGCTACTGCTAACAGCAAAAACCATATGAAAGCTAAAACTTAACTGTTTTGTTAAAAAATCAGCTAATTCACATAATCCAAATATTTGTGGGAAAACATCTGCATAATTTATTGAAAAAATTAGTATTGTGTAGACAGCTTTGATCATTTCCACTGTGTAGGTTTTTATTGTGGAATAGACAATGTAGATTCACTTAATATGCATTGCATGTAAAATAATAAATGCTCAATAAAAATTTTTTCATTTATTTTTTAACATTGGTTAATTATTTTTTTTCTTTCCTGTACTATCAATAAAAATCCTGACTTTTACTTCTGAAGTTAAAGGATAATACTAATAATCTAATTAGCTTATTGCCTCTTACTGAAATAGTATACAGTACTTTTAAAATCTTTATTTGGTATATTATTTTAGAAAGAATACTGTTTTATAAGAAACAAAAATTTAGTGTTAAGATCTGAATACATTAATAGGGCTTCTTGAATAAGTGAACCTAAGTACACAAATGCTCAACCTGACTGAAAATTTTGTCTTTGTATTTTAAGACTAAATTAATAATTTCTTAATTCAAAATTGGAGCTATCATAAACTAAATCTGATGATGTTCAGAGAATTTTAGGCCTTCGTAGTTTGAAAATGGTAACTAGGGGTCTGGGAATGTGCAACTCTTTGTTTTTTCAGTAAATGGTTATGTAACCTTTTGTCTAATGTGTCTTTCTTCATACACCTGCACAAGCTTGTCAGTCTTCTTTACTCCTAGAACTCTAAATTAATCTTCTCAGTAATGTCATACGTGTCTAACAAGTATCCTTAACTCAGTCTGTTTAGATAAATGTCTCAAATCTTTATATAAGAACATATTCCACTAGCAAGCCTACTGAAAAAATTTGCAAGGTCTTATAGTCTTAATTGAAACTGGAACCTTTTATCTTAGACTTCATCAAATCCCTATTTTTTTCCCTTCTAGATTCACTCTGTGTTTGTGCATGCATGCGTGCACACATTCTATCAGCAGCTGTAAACTACCCACATATTTTCTTAATCTCATTCTTCCAGTTTCTCTTCATCTCTACAAGAGGTTACATTTCATTCCTGGTCAACTTTTGGAAAGAATTATATAATGCTGGACCTTCATGTTAAAGGGATAGGACTGGTTATAATATCCTTTACAATCCATTCACTTATTTTGATGTCTAACCAGATAAAAGTTAAAAAGAAAGCTAGAAAGCAAAACTTCCCTTAATCCTGGAGCAAATGCATAATTTTGCTCTCTCAAAAATCTCCTATGACTGACTCAAAATGCTTTTAGGTAAAAGAAAAAGCTCTTTTTTTGTCAAATAGTTGAGAGACAAAAAAAAATTACGAGCCAGTTATGAAATGTAGATTGAACTTTATACATGTGAAAAACAGAATAAGAGTTTTGACTTCTGTGTAATGTTTTTCATGTTCAAATATGCTCAGCTACTCACTATATAGTTTTAATCCATATATAATCTATTGATATCCCTGTATAGACTTACTATGGGACATGAAATTCCAGTCTTTACATTGTTACAGGCTTGTATCCACAAAATATTTGCATTCCTTTTAAATATGAACTATTTACTGTGGTTAATTGAAGATAGATGAAGTCATCTGTGGACATTTTAGCTTTAT